GAGATAGGTGAAGGGATTTATTTGTTGTTTTCGTTTTTTGTTGGGTTTTTGTTTGTTTGTTCGTTTTTTGGTTTTGTTTTAAAGAGACAAAATTTTGAGTGCAAAATAAACGACAAAACAATGTCTAAAAAGTAAACTGAGAAGGAAAGAAATGAGCACAGAGACAAACACAATGAACTGATATCGCTGATGTGAGTGAACCTCCTCCTTCAGATCCCAGGTAAATATCCAATCAAGCAGAAGAAATTCAAACACAGCCGTCATAAACCTCGGCAACAGATAATCCAACCACATCGCAAAGAACAGAGAACATTCACAAAACATCCTTGCACCTTTTGATCGAACGACAAGATGAATCGTAGATCAAAACACGACGAATTTACTCACCATTCACAAAATATTATGTAAATCCAAGAGAAGTGAGTAAAAATCCGATCTGGAACAGCTAAAATCTAGACTCTAGATTCTAGAATCTCAACAAAGACCAGGTGTATCAGAATAAGATCGGCAAAAGAATATTGATCGATGGAAGCAAAATCCTTGGAACACAATGCAATATAAATCCAATCCTTGTGCGTATCCAAACGTACAACGAAAGATTTGGTTGTAACAACGACACACAAAGCGACGATGACACACGGTTGTAGCTGTCTGTGTGTCACTATCGATGTGACAATACAGTGGCACTGCTCCAGAGGCGAATGTGCGACTGTTGCTGAGGTAGATCTATCGAGAGTTGCACCCCAAACGACAGAGGATCAAGGCATGCAGGCGGGGGAAATAAGGCGAGGACTATGAAAAAAAATCCAACAGTCACTCACTCACTGTACTGTACTCCGCTAGTCCAAGACCAGACAACGGAACGGTAACGGCCGACCGTCTCTTCGTATTCCACACACCACAGACAATCCGCCGTTGGTTGCAGACGACGAAGCGAACGAACGACCGATGGATGATTCCCCTCTTTTCTCTCTCTCTCCCTCTCTCTCTCTTTCTTTCTCTCGATTCCCTTCTCTCCCCTCGACAATCCTCGATGCGAAGCGATCCCAGCGCCCGCGAGTTCCCTCCCCTCTTTCTCCCTTCTCCGCCGCCGCGCGTACGATCGCTAGACTCGCCGCGTCGCGCCACACGACACAATCCGAGCGCTGCGGCGAGTGCTTCATTCATTATTTTGGACGCGTTCTCTCCCGCCACCACCGCCCCTTCCCTTTCTCTTCTTCTCTTCCATTCGCTGACCGCTCGTTACATGCTAGCCAAGCAGCTGCGAGACTCGGGCAGCGGCGATGGATTCCCCGTCGGCGGCCGGAAGAGGTCGCGACTAGCGGCCAGAAGACTTCCTTTGCTCGTCTGCGAGGGTGAAATCTACAATGCAAGACTCTGGCTCCCACACAAGGACGGCCGGTGTACTCAGGAGGTCATAGGTTATCTAATTCCGCCTGAGGAACCCCGGAAGTAATTAATGTTGTTATTAACATCTATGGACGCCATGCCACATGTTCGATTTTATATCACTTTGATGATACATGTATAAGAAAAGAATCAAGGCACTAAGGTGGAGCAGTTGATTAGGACAACTGTCTAGGAGTTTAGAGAGAGTGCTTGTAGATACGGTAATACATGCACTGTATTAATTTCCATCTCGATATGATATCAACATCTTGATGTAGATCTGCATGTTCTTAGATGTGTTGATGCATTGAGTACTTTTCATGACAAGCGACCTTCGAAAGACAGCGCTAACAGGAAATTTCGGTATTCTTGTCCGACAAGAAATGCTTTCTTTTCTTTTAGCTACTTAGACAGCGGCAATGCTGACCTGCACGATTGGCTTTTTCTCGATAAAATTTCTTTAAATGTTCTACATGAGAAAAATGTAAAGAATAAACTAAATGTAATTTATTTCTACATACAAGAATGTAACTGGCGCGAGAGAGAGAGAGAGAGAGAGAGAGAGGGAGAGAGAGAGAGAGAGGGAGAGAGAGAGGGGAAGAGAGAGGGAGAGA